GATTAAGAGCTGCCAGGATAGTCTCCACCCTAGGTAGGTGGGGGGGAAACAAAGCCAGCACATGGCTTGGGCAGCCAGGAAAATGAGCCAATTCAGCACAGGCTCAGCAGTGCTGCTGCCAGTAGGATATCAGTGGAGTTTGCAGGAAAAAGCCAACACTACCTCTGAGTGAGAGTGACAGACCAGTGCCCTGTGGAGCTACAGGCATGGAACCAGAGGTGGGCAAGGTGCCAGGTGGGCGCTGGCATTATCTTGTGTTGCTCAAAGGGACTGCACAGCCCTGTGGCTGGCAGTCCTGCCCTTCTGTAGTGTTCTGTAGTGGCACTGGAGCATAGGCAAAGTTACCAGTAACAAAGCAATAGCATTTAACCTGAACAAGACAACATGACAGAGCATCATTGAGCCATACTTTCAGTCTCAGGTAAACACAGACAGTGAGAGTAACACTGAGTCACAGGATGTAAAACAGTTATTCAAACAAGTATGCAACAAAACAGCATCAAGACATCCCCCCTGAGGGATACAGGACATTTTCATTTTTCTTGTGGTCTTTGTCATTAAACTACCCCATAAATATTTCTAATTTTGTGTTGCAGCAAGTAATTAATATTAGCTAAGCTATACTAGGACAAAAAAAAAAAAAAACAACAAAAAAACAAAAAAAAACCACCAAAAAAAACCCTTCTCTTTCACCCAAAAGGATGCTGGTGATGCCATAAGGAGGACAAATTCCACCAAATGTGCTGCACTTTCGACACAGGGTAATATTCTATGTTAGCCTAGAGTAACACCTTATTAAATGCTGCAGACCACTAATAATGCAACCATCCAAATGACAGCTAATTGCAAATAAAAGTCTATTACTTCAGCACTTCTGAAGTTATTTCTTAGACAACCTATCAAAAATATTTTACATGATGGCTGACAGAAGCCTCCCAATGCAACATGTTTACATCAATTTAATGGTTATTGTGAAGTTTTCACCTTAGTGAAGTTCCATCATGCCAAACATGTTTCACACACTGCAACAAAGCCTTAGGATACAGTGAGAAGACAAGGCCTGTGGGGGCCTCACTTCATAAGAGGTCAGCAGCTAAATGTGGGTCTGGGTCTTCATTAAGTGTTGTCTGAGTGGAAAACTAGAGTTTATTTACTCAACCTCAAGATAAGCAACTTAATGCTGCTGATTTGAATGCAAACAAGGGCAAGACCTCATGCCTGGAAGACTCTCTGATGTGGTTACAGTGGAAGCTTAGAATAAACACAGGTTGGGATACGAAACACAGTTGTCATGGCCTACAAATTCAGCATATTTTAAAGTATTTAAATATTTTTAAAGCATTGTCTACAACTGAACTATCAAAGTGGTATTGCTTTTATTTTGAAGATGTTACGCTTTCAATTACATATTGTTTATTAAGGTCTGTTTTGCTAATTCACTGAAATCTCTCCCATATGACAGAAATTACATTTGCTTCTCCATTTAGTGACCTCAAATGACAAAAGGTGCAGAATGAATTTAAGTTGGCATATAAATGCAATTATGCCTTCCTTTTTTCTTACAGGGCTTATCTAGTCTGCTTTAACACCATCGCTGGGTGGTAATGGTGTTTAACACCATTCACAAATGAATATGGGGCTCCTAATGCTTGCAATGTGTCCAGGACCTAATCCTGGCATGCTTAGTTTGTCCTTAAGAAGCTATTTCACATCTTAAAATGCTTGTAGACTTCTAAAAATTAAACTGTGGAAACCAAGGCCTCAGCTGTGAGACAAGTCTTGCTTCCTAAACCTGCTAATCCATTTTTAAATTACTACTCTTATTAAAGTACTATTTCAAAATTGATCAGCAGCTTCAGAACAAAGCATTTTTCTTTTATGCTGTAAACACAGAAACAGCAAAGGGGTCAGTCCAAGGCAAGAAAAACTAAGTCCTCTTTCTCTAAATGAGTGTGACTCATTGCCTAAGAGTTACAGCTCAACTGAACAACAGAGGCAAGAGATTTACAAATATGAAAAACTCTCACAGCTATGGACGCGAGAGCAACTTGCTCTTCTAAGGGGTCTAAGCACATTATTGACTTGCATTTTTGAATCAACATTTGAATTCAGAATCCATATGATCCATTGACTCCAAGTTTGCCCAACACGGAGAACAATGATGCTCTGGGTCCAGCAATGCAAACAGCAACCAATAAAATCTAGAAGAATTAAACGGGACAGTGAGGCTGATATTCAGATTTTGCACAGTAGTGCCAGTCATGTAGTGCTGTCATTGGAAACACCTATTAAATAAAATGCAATTCCAGCGCCTGAACACTAAGAGGGTTAATTCATGATAAAAACAGAGGTGTGCCTCAGTTTCCTTATTTTTATAGGTAAGCGTTTAAATGCTTGATTTAGCACCTCTTCCTCTGTCTTGAGTTTTGCTAGCTGAAGCACTTTTGAGGTCATGCAGCACTGGAGTGGAAGATGATGTCACACAAATGTAAATTTCTTGAGTACTCTCAATAATTTTGAAGTGTGTCATGCCAAACTCAGGATTACTTTCACTGGTCACTTTCAGGGTGCATTCAGAAAGGACTACAGTGTCAATCTGGAAGTTGTCTCTCATGACTGGGATTGGCAAAAGACTGATGAAATACTAGCCCATAGCCTATTTTGAAAAATACTCATCATGTAAATAAACAGCAGTCTCTTCTCATACCTAGTTACCATCCCTTTGAGTAACAATTTTTTTTAAAAGTACAAAGGGATGGCAGCAGAAGGGTGGGCATCATCCAGAGGGCCGATTTGAGCGCCACTAGATTTCAGTCTTGTCTTGCCCCTCTATTGGAAAAAAAAAACCAAAACCAAACACAACACAAACACACACAAATATGTGCATATACTAGAAATTTTGGGCATTGCTATATGAACAAACCAGAAATCCTACTCCTTCCAATGGGATCTGTTATGGAAACAGCATATAATTTCATTGTAATACCACAAATTTGCCACTACATTAAAGAGCATTACTGTTACTGAAGGATGAACAGTAAATCAACATCCCCAGCTCTTCAGGCTACAGTCCCTCTGCAGGGGAATGGTAATTTTGAGTGTCCCTTCATTGCAGGGTATAAATACATCCCGTGAGAGAAAGAAAAGCTGATGAATATGGAATGTCTAAGCAAGAACTTCAGTCCCAAAAATTTTGTTGTACCAGGTTTGTTCTTATATTGACTTTGTCAGGGACAAGAGAAGCAGGGAAAATGGCTTCTTAGTATACTGGTACTTTCTACTTACTGTATATTGATACTTTCTCTGGTAACCATGGCACATCAATCACCCAGACTATTTTGTAAAAATCCCCATCTAAGCCCCCTGGAGCAATGGACAGATTTCTTTTTAACAGTAAATCATTACTGATGACCCATACAAAAGATCTTTGTATATTTTTAATACCATTATGTGTTGAGAAATCAGATATAAAAAGGTGGATGAGCCACACAGACAGCGCCACAGCACTGAGTGATGACTGTGACCTTTGCAAATTACTGCCCTGTGAAGGGTCACAGAAACTGCAACAAAATTTTTATAGCAAACCAAATAGCAAACAAAAAAGCAGGGGGTGCTCTTTCAACAGATTTATGAGCATATTGCACTCTCTAATATATTTATTAAAAGAACCAAGATTGAACATGGAGCTTTAGTTCTGAAAAAAAAAAAAAAAAATCCAGAGAACTGAAGGGGATCTATATCTGCTGCAAATCATTAACTATGAATACTGACATTTTACTTCTTGTAGAAAAAATTCCATTATTCATTTCTGAGAAGTACGTTTAAAAATTGGTCTTCACCACCTTTACCATAAATTCAACATCTCTGTTATAACTAAATGTGTTCTCCCACCCATAAATATATCACATACATTGTTGCAAGAAAACAGATCAGCCGAAAGGGCTGAACTGTAATTATACACTGACAAAAACAATTCCATTGCAATGAAAGTGAATGGCTTGTACTTCAGGTCATTAGCAGAGTGCTGACCAGCACAATTTTAAATGCTAAAATAACCCCCCACAGGAGGGAAAAAATTTGAGAAAAATGTCCAAATATCTGAGAAAGCAGGAACTGTGCTTGTGTAGAACAAATTTTAAAATAATGAGAAAACTCTGCCCCCTTGTCTCACCTTAGAGAAATTCTGTTTAAGCTTCCCTTACTTCTCTATGGCTGTTTATGCATCACAATTTGAATAAAGTAAACAAGGGAAAAATAATTTGTATCTGCCTCCAGATCTACAGAATGAAATGCTTTACTAGCTTGTAACACTAAAAATCAAAAATCAAGTTTGAGAATAAACCAGTCTTTCCTAATAAACCCACACTTACTGAATGGAACTTCAAACAACGAATTACAGAAAAAAGTGTATTGCCTTGAAAGGTTAAAGAATGTGTGTATTTTCCATAAAGCTGAAATGCTTCTGTGAACATTTAACTCTGGATTAACCAAACAGTCAAAATTCAGGAAATAAAACTATTTTACTCACTAAAACATTCTGACAATATTGCAACATAATTTGAGTGTCATTTTAAGCACTGAGGGTTTTTTTAATTTTAATAAAAAAGAAAATGAGAAGAAAGGCTAAGTTGAGAGAACCCTTTTCTGCAATCAAAAAAACAAAACAAAACAAAAAAAAACCACAAACCCCCACCAAACCCACCAAAAAGAACTGGTAAGCTTCTTTCTTCTCCTGCCATATAGCAGATCTCTTCTTGGATTTCACACCACTGACCATATCCTGTCAGAGATCTTGAACAGTTTACATTACTTCTTTTGTAGGATTAATCTAGACCGTCCCAGAGATAAAACCAAAATGCACAATGAATTCCTACACTGAATTCCAGCTTGTTACTGTGAACTCAACATAAGAAAAGCAAAAAGGAATCCCACACATCTTGTAGTATATACACTGCTTTCACATAGTATAAGTTAGAGGAATATGTAAAGGGACAAGCTACTTTTGTACAAAACCTCAATTTATTTCAGAGAAATTAAAAATATGGTATTTAATATATATAAATTTCTATTCCTCTATAAATATAGATGATCTTGTGATAATGAACAGAAATAAATGCATACCAAATTAAAATAATTTTGCATTTCAGGGTATGGTAGCCATAGATAATGTTTATGAACCTAAATACAGGCATTTGTAATATTAAAAAAAGTTTAAAACAATACAATCAGGAGAGAAGCATTCTGCTGTTTTTCATACAGAGGTCTACATATTCAAATGCATCTGTTGAAAGTTACAATTTCGTCTTTAACTTTTTTAATGTATTAGAAGCACAATCCCACACACCCAGGAACATACAATGTAGCAGATATACTGCATACATGATATTTTATCCTTGCAGTATGCAATGTTTTTTCTGTACCGAAAAAAGAGGGGGAAAAAGACAGCAGAGGCTTTCAGGTCTCACATCCCACCAGAGTGCTCAAGCATTCTGCTTTACTGTTTTCCTTTCCATTGTTTTTACTACTGGCAAAAATCATCACACCCTCATAATGTGGAATGATTTAAATATCAATGAATTAAAATTCAGAGGAATGGCAATGGCTCCAATGTTTCCCATATGAAGAGCTGGAGTATGAATATAACTAGGGGGCAGGGAGGAAACAAACAAAAGCCCCAAACTGAATGCTGCGTTTTATTCCGATGAAACTCTTTTCACGGAGCCCGTATTTCCTGATCCTGCTGACCCCAGCCGGCAGCAGCCCGGCGGGAGGCACCGGGGCAGGCGGCGGTGGGAGCACCCGCGGGGCGGCCCCGCACTGTGAAGTGGGCTTAGGAAAAAACCCCAGCAGGAGGGAATTTCGCTGTATCTCTCTCTCCATCCACCTCCTGGGCCATCGGAGGTGCTACAGGTGCAGGCGGTGCGGACCCCAACTCGCACACCGAACCGGGCCGACTGCTCCTGAGCTACGCGCGGCACGGCCAGCCCCGGCAAGCCCGGCCCGGGCGGGCTCTCCGCGCACGGAGCGGGCGCGGCGGGCTGTTCGTGCCCCCAGAGGGGCCCGGCGGGGCCGGCGGGGCCGGGGCTCGGCGCAGCGCCGTTCCTGCGCCGCGCTCGGGCACTTCCCGTCCTCCCCGTACGGGACCGGCGGGGCCGGTGCTCCCCAGACGGGGCCGGCACCGGGGCCGCAGCGGGAAGCGGCGCTCCTCCCCATCCCCACCTCCAGCTACCGCGGGCGGGCCGGAGCCGGGACCGGGACCCCAACCGGGTCAGGAGGCGCTCCCGGCCGCAGCCCCACTCCGGGCCCTCCTGCTCATGCAGCTGAAATTCCAAGCAAAGCCATTACAAAACCTGTGTGGGGGGAAAGAAGGGGGTTTGTTTTCGATTATCTTAACAGTTTTTCCCATCCTGCCCTACGAAATAAAAATCCAAAAGGCCTTTTTTTCCTTTAAATTAAAAAAAAAAAAAGCGGCGGGATAAGCGAGGAAGTAAAATCCGCAAACGGGTTAGAAGTGTCCTAAATAATTAAAGAAAAAGTGAGATTTTTTGTAATTTAAATACAAATATACTTACAAAATCTTACAGAGGCTATTTACATCCCTCTCCCCCAACTTGACAGTGCGTTCAGCTCCTACAGGAGACAGCCCGAGCAGCACGGGGAGGGCACAGCCTGGAGATCCCAGGCACTGGGGTCCCCCTGGCTCGTCCTCCGTTCCCCGCCGCCTGTGGAAGCCACTCGCAGTCCCAAAAGTTTGCCTAGGCTGGGTAAGAAGCTGCTTCCCGAAGCAGAGCCTCAGTCCTCTGCCTGCCCGCATGCCCCTAGCCTGGCAAGCAGGGGTCTCAGACCGTGGTCTCGCCCTGCTTGCTGTTGGTGAGCCTGGTGTAAAACTTCCTCCAGGAGTTCAGGGTTTTCCCAGACCAGATCCAGAAGCCCGAAGTGATGCCCACGATTAAGGTCATGAGATACTTGATCATGAAGACAGTGAAGTCGGGGCTCATGGGTGGGTGGTGGCCGCTGTGGTTGTTGGGGCAGGGAATGGCATAACTCTTACAGCTCTGCGTGACCCAGCTCCTCTCCCACTGTTCCCTAAAAGCTTGCTCGTAAAAATAGCAGGCAATGACGATGGTGGCAGGCACCGTGTAGAGGACGCTGAAAATGCCTATCCTCACCATGAGCTTCTCTAGCTTTTCTGTCTTGGTGCCGTCATGCTTCATGATGGTCCGGATCCTGAAGAGGGACACAAAGCCAGCCAGCAGGAAAGAGGTGCCGATGAACAGGTAGACGAACAAGGGGGCCAGCACGAAGCCCCTCAGGGCATCCACGTTGTTGATGCCCACAAAGCAGACGCCGCTGAGGACGTCGCCATCCACTTGTCCCAGGGCAAGGATGGTGATGGTCTTGATGGCCGGCACAGCCCAGGCAGCCAGATGAAAGTACTGGGAGTTGGCCTCAATGGCCTCATGGCCCCACTTCATGCCAGCAGCAAGGAACCAGGTAAGGGAGAGGATGACCCACCAGATGGAGCTGGCCATGCCAAAGAAGTAGAGCATCATGAAGAGGATGGTGCAGCCCTCCCGCTTCGTGCCCTGCGCCACGGTGCGGGAACCGTCCTCGGAAAAGCGCTCGTTGCAGACCACCCGCTCCTCCAGGAGGAAACCGGCGATGTAGGCCACGGCCACCGCCGTGTAGCAGCCCGAGAGGAAGATGATGGGCCGCTCGGGGTAGCTGAATCGCTTCATGTCCACCAAGTAGGTGAGGACGGTGAAAAGGGTGGAGGCACAGCAGAGCACAGACCAGATGCCGATCCAGGTGCGGGAGAAGCGCAGCTCCTCGGGCCCGAAGTACATGAGCCCGTAGAGGCGGCCGGGCTCGCAGGGCGCCCCGCAGTCCTTCTCTCCCAGGAAGCGGTAGTTCAGGTAGGAGGGCACCTTCAGCGCCCGCGGGCAGGTGAAGCGCCCGCGGGGCTCGCCGGGCCCCGCGCCCCCGGGGCCGCCGCCGGCGCCCCCGCGGTGCGGGTTGCTGGTCCAGCTCTCGGGGCGCAGGGCGGGCGTGGGGGTGCCGCGCTCGGAGGCGTTCTGCCCCACGCACAGCTCGCCGGCCCCGTGCACCGGGAACTTTTCGCAGCGCAGCGTGTCGGGCCACTGGAAGCCGAACTTGTTCATGAGGGCCTCGCAGCCCTGGCGGGCCCGCTCGCAGAGGGAGCGGCAGGGCGGCAGGGCCTGCTCCAGCACGGTGCACACCGGCGCGTACATGGAGCACAGGAAGAACTTGAGCTCGGCCGAGCACTGCACCTTCACCAGCGGGTAGAACTGGTGCACCTCCAGCCCCGCATCCTCCTGGTTGGTGTGGCCCAGCAGGTTGGGCATGATGGTCTGGTTGTAGGCGATGTCAGTGCAGAGAGGGATGGAGATGGGCTGGCAGTAGCCGTGGTCAGGGATGGAGATGCCCCGCTCGCCGTTGTACTGCGACGCCGGCAGCTGCCCCCCGGCCGGGAGCGCCGCCGCCCACAGCAGCACCAGCAGCAGCGGCAGCCGCGGGCACCGGCCGCTGCCAACTTCCCCGCCGCCGCTCACCGCCGGCCCGCGCCGCTCGGCCATGCTCAGTCGGTGCCGCCTGCCCTGCCGGGCTCCCGCCGCCCCACCGCCGCCGCTGCTCCTCCCGGCCCGAACTTGCGACTCATGAAGGGAGCGGCGGGCAGGGACGGGGCAGCCCCGGCCGCCACTCACGCGGCCGCGGAGCGCAGCGCGCAGCTCTGCCCGCTCCGGCGGCAGCGTCCCCGCGCCTCCGACTACGGCCGCCGCCGCCGCCTCCGCCGCCGCCGCCTGACCATTTGTGCCGGCCCCTCGAGCCCGCGCCCCTCGCCTCGCCGCGCCGCGCTCCCTCCGACCGGTTTCCAGGCGCCCCGCAGTCTGCTTCACCGGAGGGAGGAGCCTTGAAACCGACGCCGAACTTTCCTGCGTAAGGGACCGTCTCCCAACGCCTCACCCGGGGGCGGGCGCAGGCGGGCGGGGGCTGCCCCGCGCCGCGCACAAAGGCGGCGGGGGCGGCGCTGGGGAAGGGGCCCCGCGGCGGGGGGTGGTGGGGGGCCGGGGCCGTGCCGTGTCGGTCGGCAGCGCGCCGGTCCCGGCTGTCCCGGGGCTGTTTTTGGATTCCCCGGTGATGACGATTGTTGGAAGCTGTTGAGCGGCGCACCCGGACTGGGCCGGAGCCCGTCGCCCTCGGTGCCCCCCCGCCGTGCGAGCAGCCGGGCAAAGCCCGGGCGGGGGAATCGATGTTAGGCACAGAGCAAAGGGCAGGATTGGAGGAGGGATCCGCCGCACTCTGCTGCGGGGGGCAGTGCGCAGCGGGGCTGTTTCTGCAGGTCTGAAACGCGGGAGACACGCTGCGGTCACTTGAGGTGCGGGCAAGAGCCGCAGCACCGTGAAGGCACAGGCGGCGATGTCACACGTCGCATACACCGTGATGATGTTGGAGTGGCTAAACTCGGCTCTCCCCAGAGACGCTAAGTAACTCGATACCGAGCTATTGCCAGTGTGTTATCTGCGCCTTCCTCCCATCGTGTCCACAGCAGCAGCCCGACGTACGAAAATAATCCCAACAGGGCTTTCCTATTTCCCTTCCTCCCTCTGCTTAATGGGCAACTATTCCAGTGTGACTCAAGTCGAATGCTGTGTAACTTGCAATACCTCCCGTCAGGTTTTTTTTTTTTTTAAATTCTTGCTATATTCTAGGGAGAGGGTGAATGGCCATACAGTGACCGCCAGCAGTGGCCATTTTTGCATGCCTGAAGCTCCATTGCACAAACAGAATGGAGGTCCTGTTGGCTCTCCTGAAATGCATAGTCCAGGAAAATTATGAAGGCTGAATAGGGGATTTACTGTACTCATTGGAACTGAATAAGAATAATAAAGTGTGCTCCTGGAGAGAAGAACTCTGCCCTGTTCTCCAGACATTCAGTAATTAAGGCTCTCTGTCGTGTGTGCAAATGTTCTCATATTTGTCCGAAGGTTAATTCTATCATTCGTAGCTGAATCAGGCATGGAACTTCTCCTACCAGCTGTCTTCCTTCTCTGCAGCATGCTCCCACCCTTTCCGCCTTACATGTTAATTGAGCTCCAAAAACCCATTAGTAGTAAGACAGCTTCAGCATTTATTTCTCTCAAAGGTGGCAAGGGTTAATAAAAGACATCCGTATTTCTTGGATAGCTACAGATAAAATTTGGACCATGCTATTTAGGCCACTTTCTTTCTCCCAGCAGTACTGTCCCACATTCAAACTAATTAACAGCAAAATCTATGCTGTGTAACGACTGCAGGAGCAGGATCATGTTTAGAAATTGCACATCCTTAAAAACGTCGATTGCTGATGTCCTCGTTTACTGAGGTTCATTGAGTTCTGTCAAGAACTCTCTTCTCAGAGGACAATAGTTCAAAAATGATATGCACAAATACCTTTTTCCATCTTCTGCTGAACAGTTTGATTCCTTAAATACTGTATTTATAGTTTGAAGCATCAGATTTTTCTTCATATCTACATCAATTAAAATTATTAACTTATTTCTAGCACAAAACCTATTAATATTCAGCCCTAAATATAGCAGTATTGTTTCTCTGTTTTTCCTAAAAAGAATGAACACAGAATCTTTAGATCAGAATAAGTATTATCCATACTCTTTCTCATAGAAAATGAGTGTGAATTTCTGACTAGTCTTGGGAAGCCTCCTTGGCTTTTTGCCTGTCCTCTTTAGACCTGGGGACACATCACACAGTCCAGGAGAGGTGATTAAGATGCCCAAGTGCATCATCGGTTGATTAAAATTCTACCTACTGGAGTCTGCATTTGAAGTGTTAAGGAAACATTTCTCAAACCAAAATACACCATCTCAGCCTAGAAGATTGTTCTAGGAGAAAGGCCAGTGTATACAGATAAGGTTTGTACATGCACATAACAGATTTTTTCAGACCGACTAGTACAGAAGGAAATCTAGACACATTTTTGGATTAACAAGCTATTTTTTTTTTTTTTTGGGTTCTGAAGCAGTAACTATCTAAATGCAGTAGTTAGCTAAAAGCTAAATGCAGCTTGAGAAAAACTACTTCAAGTTCAGATGCATCAGTAAGATCAGCTCAGAAAGAAAAAGTGGAAATGGGATGGAAGTGGTATTGTGGGGAGAAGAACAAGTGTTGTGAGCTGGTAAGTTCAGAAAAGTTTCTAGGACTTGCTCATTTTAACTGTTTAGTGATTTTTCACTAACAAGAAAATCCTGTATGGAAAGAATCTTCCCAGAAGCATGTGTCCTACATTTCAAACACCCCAAACCACAAAACTCATCATTAAAGCATAATCCTTTGTGGCCCACAACACTAGATCAGTTTAGACCCTGCCTGAGAAAGAAATGCAATGTGATTTTGATGCCCATCCACTACTACAACAATGAGCACCCCCTGCCAGCAAATCACCAGCATACCCTGGTCTTACATTTGATATTCCAGGGCTGTACTTCATCCAGTGCACATCTGCATTCCTTGTAGTTTTACTGCTGAAAATGACCACCAGCTGCAGCATGAACTCCAGGAGGCCATCTCCACAGACCAAAGAAACTACTGTGCTCTTTATGAGGGAGTCTTTCTCACAAAACAGATATTCTCCCATGTCTTTCAGACTTTTCCTTAAGGAAATTACAAAACTTGTCTCACAGAAGTGCACATGGGAACTAAGTTTCCTAACTCTGCCCAAAACATTGGACTCAGTAGAGATGCTGGTCTGATAGTACATTATAATTTCCTTCAACTTAAAACACTACCCCCTCCCACTTACCCATCTCCAAATCGAGAGACTGTAAGGTAATTGTCTCTTCTTTTTGCTTAGCTAATAAATGCTATTTTCCCCCATCATTAAAATCATCAATGTCCTGTCTATTCTAAAGCTAACATTTCGTTCAGAGCTAGCTTAATTAATAAGTATCTTAGGAAATTGTGAGCAATTGCTCTTAACTGAAAGGTAATTATAACCTACAGAAAACTGTGACCAAAAGTCTGTCTTACTTTTCCACATATGTATCTTGGTCTAACAAAATATACTACTTTATGCAAGACCAGTACTGCACATCATACACAATTATTTCCGTGTGTCTCCCTTGTTCTTTTAATGATTCCTTATGTGTCCATCACAGGTGACAGTTGGAGAGAGGAGACTGGACTGGATGCACCTTTGCTTGGGTCAACATGACAGTAATCATGTTCTTACGAATTTCACAGCATATTTCTTAAAGCACAGGCACTCTTCCTTGCCACAGAAAGACAATCTTCCATTCTAAAAGAAACAAAAATTTGGGCATTAAATAATAATAAACAGGAATTTCAGCTTTTACTTCAAAACAATATGGAGACGTAACTAGGTATAGCAGCCATTAGGGGACTCTGGTTGGTAGGCAGAGTATGAGATTTGGCCTCTTACATTCTTTATGTACCAATAATATCCTTAGAGTGCTGGTTTGTGCTTGCTTTACTTGTTATGGGAGATGGGGGATTGTCTGAAAAAAAATAGTTATGAAAATCTTTAATTTTGTAAAGAAACAAAGCAAAAAGTCATCACGGGATTTTCTTGTTTTCTTCTATGTGACTGGCAGAAATAGGATAGAGTGAATGCTTCCATTCCACAGCACTTAAGGAAAACTTGTTTCCCTAGAGTAAATTATTCAGCTTTATCTCACACACCTATGTTACATACAGAGAATCCAAATTTAAGCACAAATGTGTATTTTATGTTAGTGAGCACCCAAATGAGTAAAATTTAAACTGAGATGATAACATAAATTATGTCTGTCCACCAAATTAAAGCAAAATTTATGCTTAAATAATTAGGTTTTTAGTTGATTCAAGGTTTCATTATTTAGATGGCAAATAAAGGGTTAAAAGTAAGATCATCATAACTACGTGGGATAAGTTAAAAGTTGATTTTTGTCTCATGTTGAGCATGAATCTTGGCTGATAAGAACAGTTAATATTTTTTGTGTGCATAGTAATTAGTTCTGTATGGAAAGAGAGGATTTTTGGGATTTGGGTAGACAGAGGGATTAAAATATGTAATCTGTGATGGGCAACAATGTGTATAATAAATTAATGAAGTTTCTTGGGAGTTTCCAAATGAGACAGTACAGATTCACATCTCAGGTGGGTCTCATTTCAGCTCTGAGTACTGGCAGTACACATCACATCAAGTCCTCACAAGGCACAGACCGAGACATTTGCTGAAAAATCAGTACAAGGATTGTAAAAGCAGTAAAATGAAGGAGAATCAGTACAAAGATTCTAAATGCAGTGAAATGAAGGAGAGATGATTACAGTATCATACATCCCAAACTGTAAGATGAAATAAGGCACACCCTTCCATTGCCATATTAAAACTACCATATATTTTGGATCATAAAATCCTTAATCCACATAATAGATGCTCTTCAAAGTAAGATGATCTTCAAAGTAAGATGTTTGACCATAGAAGTTGACACAGAGGTCTACAATCCAAAATTCTGGAGAGAAGGTACCTGGACAAGTCTCCCAAGCAGCTTTAACAGTTGCATGGTAAGATAGTTCTCAGTTTGCAACATGCCAGTGACACAGACATCTGCCTCAGGACCATGGGCATAGGGCCTTACAGACCTAGTCTTGCCGGAAGAGCAAAATACTTGCAATTTAAAAACCTGCCTTCAACGTTTCTTGGAACATCTAGAAGACTCTTGGAAGTATGCCTGTGCTGACAACAATAACACATATGCAGTGATTGGCAAAGAAAATCAGTAGGAGCTGAACACAGACCT